CTTCCTCCTTTTACATGAACAATGTGAGCCTCCACCTCATTCTCCACGAGTTCTAGTATATTACACCCCACACTGCTCCCGTATTTTAGTGCATGCTGGAAGATTTACACCTTAGACCTCCGAGACGCCCCCACGTGAGTCTTGAAAAGTGCTCACCTGTCTGTTGAACTGGGCACACGAGGCCCCAGTTCTTTAACTTGGGGGACATCATTGCTGCTAACCTTAGTACTAAATATAGCTTCTTTTGTTTCAACAAATTATTTTTTTTCGGTGTCTATTTTTAGGTCCTCGACCATGGAGTAAACCACCCTTTGACACAAGAGAAAGAGGAAGAGATATATAGAGAACTGGACATTTTAGGGTGTTCACCCTTAGAGCATATTACAAGTGCCGACAAAACATCTTCGAGCTCTCGAAACATTCCGTAAATCAACATGGCTGCCTTACCCGTCTCCAGCCAACTGTTCAGCGCACCAAGAGTCTTGACGCTACTCATTGTCATCTCCGCTGCCATAGCAACCGTGACGTCAGCGCGCCCCAAGAATCGTGCGCCAATCATCACGCTGGGATTGCCTTACTCGGAACAGCCCGGAGTGTTGAAACTGTCGGAGGAGGCTCCAGAGATGTCGCTTCTGGGGCTCTTGAAGATTAATGTGAGTGGGTGGTTGGCGGGTACCCTGCCCGGTGTGGTTTACTCATTCTTTCCCATCAAACATCGATCGTCTTTATGTTTTCTCCTCCTTTTCTTTAATGTCTTTTATTCTCTTGTTGCATCTCTAAATCTTCGGCACTCAATTATGACCTCAGTGTGTTGCAAGAGCCGTAAAACTCTTAATAAAACTCGATATCAATACACGTTGTTCGAGAACGTCGTGTTATGCACTACATACAACTGGCACACATGCTCGAGACAAACTGGCCTGTATGTTTTTCCCTTTGACACTTATCAAATAAATTGGCAAACATTTTAGCTGCTGCAAGAGGCTGAATCTTTGAATCCCATGTTCTCAAAACTGTGCGTCGTGGAATTAAAACCCATTCAATTGACGCCGTATAATAATATTATATTATAATAATGATAAGATAACATCAAGCACGATATGACTAGTTGTTTTTGTGCTTTAATGAAGAATAATTAATCTGGACTTTAGTTCACGTCAGCTTGTACAGTATACTTCCCGGGAAGCCGAGAACTATTATTTTTGCGTGTACCAACTCATGCGCTGGAAAGTGCGTAGAGCATGCTGTTGAGCGTGGGTATGCGCTGTATAAATGCAGTTTTTCTTCTTCTTCTTCTTCTTCTTCTTCTTCTTCTTCTTCTTCTTCTTCTTCTTTTCATTATTATTGATATCAATTGTTACTAAACGCCACATATCCAATATTTATTTACTGTGATATTTCTTTACCTGTCCAGGACTCGGACACTGCCGAATGCACCACGGACAACGAGTTTGTCGGCCTGGGGTTTGTCTCCGACACTATCTACAAGATCGAGCTACAAAGATTCCTGGACCGTGAGCTCGAGTCAGAGGTCAACGTTCGCTTTGAGTGCGTGGACACAGGTGTGCCCCCGGCAACGGGCGTGGCGACGTTCACTATACTGGTACAAGACGTTAACGACAACGTGCCTGTGTTCCAGCGCGAGCACTACAGCGCACAGGTAGCGGAGAATGTCCAGTATGGGACTTTAGTGGTGAAAGTAGAAGCCAGGGATATGGACGGTGGGGAGAACGGGATTGTGAGCTACGCGTTGTCGGAAGGTGCGAGAGAGGCGTTTCGAATTGACGCGAAAACTGGGGAGATATTCACAGCGACGGATATCGACAGAGAAGAGGTGGCGCAGATGTCGTTTTCGGTGATCGCTACCGACATGGGGGAGCCGCCGCTAAGCTCTTCCGTCAACGTCACCGTCACGATTGATGACGTCAACGATAACTCTCCGGTGGTGCTGACCAACGAATTTCACGTGCAAGAGAACCAGAAACCCATGTCCGTTGTTGGAACGTTGCGAGCCGTGGATCTGGACGAGGGGAAAAATGGCGAGATCGTCTTCTCCAAATTTGACGATTCTGAGGACGACTCCTCCTCTACCTTACCTTTCCTGGTCAAACCTAACGGTAAAGTGGTGGCCGTCGTCAGTCTAGACAGGGAGAGGCGTGACACGTACATGATGAAAGTTCTCGTCAAGGATAAAGGCAGGCCGAAAAGAAGCAGCACGTCCGTCGTCAACATTATCGTCGACGACGTAAACGATAACGCACCAGAACTAATTTCCCCGTGTCTTGAAGAGCCTTGGAGAGGTATGAATTTTCGTCGAAGACGCCGAAACGCTGACGAGGGCTACGAAACTGTACGAGACGACGCTGGAGAAAGCCCAGAAGGCATGGACAAAATGGAAAACGTCACGTCAAGAATATTCGACATTCCCGGGTTCGTCACAATCGACTGGCATTGCCCAGAGGGAGAGAGGGTTGTCTATCAAGTGAAAGCTTCCGATGCTGATATTGGAATAAATCAAGCCATATTTTACTCAATCGAGTCCCTGAACGGGCAAGGCGATGTGGACGAAAGCGAGGACGACACACTGTTTACCGTTGACGCGTCGTCAGGGAATATATTCCTGCGCCGCTACTTCCGGAAAACGGACGATTTGCAGCAGTTGTTGAACATCAGCGTCCGTGATAGTGGTAACCCGTCCTTGGTCTCCTACTGTGCTTTGAATGTGACCTTTGACATCGACATTAACGAGATAACTGTTCCCACTGATCCGGAGAGAGCCCCGAATACAATTGGAGACGACGGAGGGCCGGAGAACGGTGCGGGATTAGGAGCTATGAATGTAACCATTCTGGGACTAATGAGCTGTTTGCTTGTGCTTTACAACACGTGGGTTTTCCTCGTTTAATCTTATTAATCTTATTATTATTATTATTATTATA